TGGTACATTTAAAAAAAGAGAACAACATTAAGTGACTAAACAATAAATCAATGACACTCACTGATCCAGGCAAAGACGGACGCTTCTGTCTTTTCCTCCGCCAGGACTATTATGGCATCGCGGTGGGTCTTTACATCGAAGTCCAACAGGAAAGGCGCCCTCAGCGGCTGCAAGATGAACGTGGCAACTGGAGGGTCGGACGGCTCCAAAGTGAACGAGCAAGCTATGTGAACCCCAGGTCATAAATAAACAGATAATACATAAAGATATTCATTAGGCTATAGGATATGTGTTAATAAGAAGATTTATGCTACACATTAATATGACACAGGGTAATTACTTGGGCTTCTATATAGAACTATCACTGTTTGTATAAGAACCATTATATCGTGGTGTTTTCTGCCACTTGAGGACGCTGTTTGAAAGGTAAATCCTCTGAACAGTTTTATAATTATTGGTGAAAGAGACATTTATACTCTTGCACATTCCCCTGTGCATCAATCGAAAGAACGCATGTTAAAAACAGGAACATTACCCAAAAATAGAGCCCCTTTATCTTGATACTGTGATAACTTCTCTAAAAAAAAGACCAAAAGCGTAAAACAAAACCCAAAAGGTCTTAAAGCATTTTTGAAGTGGCGATAGTAAAACTAAAAAAAGGAAATTGAGAAAACCATTTGCATTTCAAGAAATTTGAATCACGCAAAAACTCAATTGCATGGTTCTTTAAAGGATCCTATTCTTGATTACATTCATTGTCATGTGGACCTATTCTTGATTACATAAAGCCCCATGTGAAATATTATGATTTAAAGGCTAAAACTAACTTCGCATTCTAATTGCACACGTTTCGTATAACGCTAGAAAATAGTCATTTTAGAAATCAAACTTTTGCTAACAAATGCATTTATAGTGCAATTCTTACATTGATACTTTACTTCTCATGAAAAAAAACACCCTTTTCTGTTCAGTGCGCTTCATGCTTCTCATTTTGTTATACAGTATAGAAACAATTCTTGAGTTTTCCCCTGTAGGCCCCCCCCCCCCCAAAAGGCTCCGGTTTCTGATATGCGCGCGCGTCGCCGTAGCCATGCGCGTCGGCAACATGACATTCAAAAAATTGGTTCTGCCATTTGGGGTGCGTTTTTATAACTTATCCTGTACAGACACTTGAAAAAAAAAGAGAAGTGAGAGCAAGTAGCATTTCAAGAAATTCGTATCACGGGAAAAACTCCATTACATGGTCCTTTAAAAATGTGTTCTCCATTAGATGAAGCCCCGTGTTACTATATGAAAACGAAACTAAATGTGGTAATTACTTCCTCTGCTAATTTGCATAGGTTTCTAAGAACGCTTGCAAACAAATCATTGTACACGTATATTTTTGCTAACAAATGAACTAATTACAGTGCAGTTGATTCGTCTCGTAAATTTCTTCTTTTTTTTAGTGCGCGTTATGCTTCTCATTTTATTAAGCCACCCGCCACAGTTGTGATTTTTTCCCGTAAGATAATATACTATAGTCTTGCTTATAACTGATTTTCATGGAGTAGAATCACTTACATTTGGTGTCGTTGAGATTGCCTTGTTTACCACGGCACTCGGTTCTGAAAGCCGCGAAAGCCTTCTCACGAAGCGCGGTCAGATCATCACCGGGTGCAGCCTTGATCATGGCGCTACACATCTTCCCTCGTACGGGTAGCAAAGAGAGGGTACTAACAAACCCAAAAGCCAAAACTAACACCAACATTTTGCGCGGGTAAGTCAGCCAGCAGCCAGCAGTTCCTCACTTTCGTATCTGCGTCAAACGGCGAGCGCACCACTCCCTTTCGAGACCAGCCATTGCGCGTGCTCGTTCCTTACACTAACCCCTGGCTGTGCAACCTCGTCCCCAGTGCTTACCATATTTCCAACCGCGTTTCCAATAGTAAACCCTGGATAGGAACCTTTCTTCCTGTATCCTGATTGGATACCGCAATTGGCTAGTAATGGATTTTTATCGTGTACTTGGTGCTATTATTCACAACGTGCAGTACGTGTTTTCGCAATCATTCGTCCACGCCTTCTCGAAAATACTAATTTCTTTTCCAATTTGCTCATATTAATATGAAATATGATACTGCATGTTGTCTGATAAGATCGTAACAGTTTGATTTCAAAAATCGTGTTTTCGTAACTCACGCCGTGCTCGCGCTGCTACGAATTGACTCTGTTTTTACCCTAGACACCGCATACAAAAACAAACGCTAATGTGTAACGCATATCCAGGCACCAGACTGTTCCTCATTTGCATACGTGTGCAAAAATCTTGCACATGCAAATGATCCAATACCAGGGTGAGAGAGCAGGTAGTGGTGGGCGCGTACTGCTCGACACCCTGGGGACGAGGTTGCTGGCTGTGATGATGACGTAAATGATACTGAATGGCTATTCACAGCGTACTGCGCGGGCATTTCGAAGATTGCACGCCGGGCGCGCCCTAGCCTTTCACCAAGGCCATGTTAAGACATGCCCGCATTCAAAGCGGCGAAAACGCGAAGCGACTGGAGATGGAGACCACACATGCGAGTGGCAAAGCCACGAGGGCCTTTTGCAACTTCTTATGCTTTTCTTTATAATCTCGATTTTTGCTACCCCAAAAGGGTAGCAAAATTCCAACCAATCATCAGCCTGTTTGTGCGTGCGTGGCTACTACCCGGACGCGTATTTTTTTATTCCTAGGAGGGTTAGGGGCAATGTCATGAATAATTCATGTTTATCCATGAGAACGGACAATGACATCAACAGCGTTGTTGTTAGTTACTCAACTAGTTACAATACATTAAAGCATTTTAAAGAACGGTTGTCGTCGAGCTACCACGCAGTAGCCTAGTGGATATCGAGATGAGCTATGGATACAAAGATCCCTGGTTCGAATCCACGTCGTCGATGCTCATTTTCATCAGCTATTTTTCTTCTCCAAATTTATCACTGAGATAATTTTAAATTAAGGGGAAAATAGAACGAGAACCCAAGTCTTGCAATGATTCAAAGGAAAAACTGAACTATTCATGACATTGCCCCTAACCCTCCTAGGAAAAAAAAAAGGCGCCCGGATGCTTGCCAAAATTTAAAAACAAAAAATGCGAGTCTAGTTTTCCACGAGATCGTGACCGTTAATTGTTCTTACATAATCTGATTTTAACTTTACTTATAAAGGTATTTATTTGAGGGTGTGAATTTATTTTTCATCTGAACTTACAGTTATTTGCTCTTACGT